AGTGCAAAAAACCGCTCTACACCCTTTCTTTAAAACCCTCATTGTGTATATTGTATGGATACTTTTTATGGCATTAAAAAAAGTTAACCTGATGGCTCGTTTTTATTTATACTTACCTTCAAAACAAAAATATTAATACCAGTTAACATTTTATCTTATAAATATATGTATATATTTTTTTTATGAAATTCTATTACAAAAAAAAAAAAATAAGTATTTCTAATTTAGCAAGTAAATTTCTCGTTTTACAATTTTGTGTAAGTTATAAAAAATTTAAGTTGATTTATTATTATAGTTTGTTCGACATAAATATATCAAATATATATATATATATTGTCGATACATAAATGGAATTAGAGTTATTACATGAAGATTTTTTGAGGGCTAAAGTTTAAGGTAAAACATAAATATGATATCATACACAGCAAGTTACAAGTTTCAATTACCTGTAATGCCTAAAGTTTTGCTACTTGTTATATTTATTGGTACCCTAGAAACTTTTCTGGAAAGCGCATTATTTAACTAAGACAATTATCATATGGTACTTAGAATTCTTGCTAGTATTATCAAACAAGTAAGTTACAAAAAATTATTAAAAATAGCTTTTAAAAATATGTGTTTATTTATTGTGTCAATATTTATGTTTAATAGCTTATTTTTCATTAAATCAAATCAAACCCAATTTTCTTTTTGTTATATTTTCAATAGATCGGTTGATACTTTGGTTTGTTGTAAAATATTTATGTTTCTTACTAAATGTGTTTGTCAAATTAATTTTCTTTCTTAAATTTCTTGTAATAACTAGTAACTTGTAATAAATATCCATAATATGTTCTATTTTATTATCTAACCATTTAGTAATAATGATTTTTCTGTCTACTGACACAGATACAGTAGAGGTCACATAGTAAGGTATGTAAACGCTCATAGGTTTTACTTTTATGCAAGCGCCCCGTCATTTGAATATTACAAGAAGGAGGCCGTAGAGATTTTTATCCAAAAGCAAATAATTTTCCAAGGTAGCAGAAATATGTCTGTAAAATATTTTTTTATGTTCTTCTCCGGTTATTACCCACATCAAATGATATTTATACGCCTTTACTCTTTCATTTTAGTTCGGTACGTTTCCTTCTATGTGGCGCGTCTTCTTTATTCGAACCGCATTGATGTGTTATAAAACTTTCCTACATATATAGCGCGAGTGGTTTTTATAACTCTCGTTTGTCTTGATTCTCGAGTGATAAAAAATGCGCCATCCGTATACAATTTATAAACATTATTTGTAGTTTACTTACAATATGTGACAATCTTTATTTTATAAAACAAACACGTTTGATTCTGTTGGCATTTGGAAGTCATTTATGAGTTAAAAAATCTGTACATTACACATAGTTACATGGTTTAAATACAACGAATTAATTTATTGTTTATTTAATATGACTAATACCCTTTATTGGCATTATTATTTAATTTTAATACATTCATATGATATATGTTCTCCAATTGAATGAGTTATCATAATTTGATGTAATTTCTAGACATAGCCAATATATACATATAATTAAACCATTTGTATGGTAACTAATTTACGAGATAAAATACGCATGTTACCACTGGAATAACATCATTTATTACTAGTTGATATCGAACAAATACTAGTAGTTGCAATGGTGGTGAATATTAAAGAACATTTTTTCTATCCCTTCAATTAATATGAATTACCTTGAAACTGTCATGAATAATTGTACGCATTAAGCATTACGTACATATATTTTAAAAAATAATACCACCGAATCGTTATGCGCCAAAAAACAAAGTAAAAATTTTAATTGTAATGAATTATGGTCTAATCCTTAGCCATTCATATATTCGCATGGTCAAATGGATGTGTTTTGTTTGTTTCACATAACAGTTTAAGCCTCCGGACATTTTTGTCGGATTAAAAGCTTCTCCTTCATACACTCTGCAGGGTCATGCCATCAATGTTTGTTGAAAGGTTGCTTTGGGGGCGGAAATACAAAAATATTAATGACTCTATGTCGATTTTGTTGTTGTAAGGATAAATTTATAGAGAACGCAGCGCCTAATCCAAATTAAAAAAAAGAAAAACATTTAGTATTCCATTTTTTTATTTTTAAAATAAATATAAGTTCATCTTGTATAGGGATATAGAAATTCAGCCTACTACAATACTTTTAATATATGTATGCGCCAAGAAAAACTATATATATATATATATATTAATTGTTCTTGTAGGAGGTATGTAAATTTACTCAGGCTAAATGAAATAAAAGCTATTATTCATTTTAACAGTTTTCGATATAAAACAAAAAAATGGCAGGTGTTATTTTATTACAACAACAGTTACGTGTGTTTAGTAGTGTACCAAAGTCAAATAATGTTCGTTTACTTGAAAACTCATCTTATAAAAATACTTCAAAAGCTTATTGCCTAAAGCTTTTAAGAAATTTCTTAGTTTTTTTTTATGTTAAACACTTGTAAAGAATAATAAATAAAAATATACTGCTATCTGAAATATTTTTAAATACATTTGTCACATTTTTTTATAAATTATGTAAACTCAATCAAATATCAGTTTGGCATTAACAAAACACCAATTATAGATTATACACTATGATAAAATAAAACAAGTAGTGTAAATATTTTTTTCGGTCTATTTATTATAGACTATATTTTAAGTCAGTTTATTTAATATACTCTAATTGAGTACCAGAAAAACATTTTCGAAAAATGAACATTGACATTTTTCTATAGTTAACGGTGAAACGTTTTATTTGGAATTCATTTTTTGTAATTTTATGTTATCAGAAGGTGTGTCAATATTTGATATTAAATAACCATATCAAATGTTCTCATAAATTTAGCTTATTGAATGTGTAATGTGACAGCTTTTAACGTTGTCATTTGTCGTGAACACTCGAAATACTTTTTACATTTTTCTATTATAACTTGTAGTCTTCGATGTGAAATGTTTGAATACCAAGCTGTCTGATCAATGGTATAAGTAAAAAAACATCCATAACGCGTAAATATTATCGGCTTGCGTTTTGCTAAACTGGATATTTGAGAGAATTTAAAACAGTAATAGTTTGTATAGATATCAACTAAGAAGTATGTGAGCAAATGTGAAATTATAAATTCACATTATTACGAAATATGCATCACGTGCGAGAGTACATAGAAAACGACACACGTTTTTATCAGATGAACTTCCCTAAGCCAAAGACTTGACTCTCCCTCGAGTGAGGAAATGACATTGTGTCGTCAATATATCTGCGTGACCGCAGTCGATTTAGATTGTTTAGTTAAGATAAAGACTTGTCATCAAACAGCACACCCCTCTTTTCAAGGTTTGTACAGTAGCGAAGTAAGACCCCTTTTGAAAATTATCATTTGATAGCTTTGCGGTTGAAAATTGTGAGTGAATCAATTTATACTTATGTTCAATTCACTTGTAACTTGACCGAGTTACTAACGTTTTTGGGGGTATTTACTAATTATTTGAAAACTGGAGAATTTCGTTTTGTCGAATTAGTTAATCATAATTTTGTTATGCAGTGTATATAAGTTGTAAAACAATTTTCTCGAGTTTTATTATTTTTATTCCATTTATTGTTGTCTTTCGAGAACAGTTTAACGAGACTGTACGTGACACGCCTATAAATTTCGAATATCGAAATTCCCCTACATGAGGGTCCAATTGTGACTAATTAATCTAGATCTGTTGTATAATCTTAGACCGCCTCAACTTCATTAACTATAATAGACATTTTAATCGACAACTATGGTTTTTTATGTTGCTGTAGTTCTTGCCTATTCGATTGACGTGTTATTATATTAATATATTACAAAGCTGACATATAGATAAAAAAATACTTAATAATAACATTTAATTTTCAAACGTCAATGTGTAAAATGTTTAATTTATTATTATAACACTTACTTTACTCCAACCAGTTTATATAATGATAATTATAATATTATATGTGATGTTTATTTTAAGCAATTTAATGCTAAACATCATTTTTGTACAAATATTTTTTACCTTAGAATAGCAAACTGCGTTTGAATCACGTGTTACGCCTAGTTACTTTGTTGATTCGTTTCTTTTCGATTTCTGCTCATTAGCTCTATTTACACGAATTTCGATAAATCCCTAGTGGGACGTGTCTCCCCAGTGTGCGTCATTCAGTTCAATAATAAAAGTCAATTTAAGAATGACCCCTCGATAAATAGTATAGTGAAATTTCCCATAAGCCAAATTTTTGAGATCTGGGGGTACTGATTAACCCTTATCTTTTCGCCGATTATCGACCCTTATTCGTCCATAACAACCGAGTTATGACGTTTGTAATCATTAAATATATTTTATTAGCTGTATTCGGTCATTATTATTTTTACTCGTCCGATCATCTTGTCTTATTTATAACTGACGGTACTGGAACGTTATTTGGTAGGAAGTTGCAATTGAAACGGTCCCAGTAACCGCAGAACGAATTGGAATACAAATTTTTTGTTTTAATTGTGACCCAATCAAATTGTCCTTAGTAAAATGAGTCGTACGTTTTTTTTTTTTTATCTATAAAATTATTTAACTTTTTAAAACATTACCAATAAGAATATATTACATAAAAGACTCTTACACACACGCTGTGTCGGTCCTAACGGTTTAACTCGCGTTGGCGTGATTATATCTAGAATACTCGTGTTAGAATAATAAAAAAAGGTAATTAAACGATTCGTTTGCCTGAGATTGTCATTGTTACACAATTGCAGTCCTAATAACGGCCATTAAATTTACATTACACACGTCGTTTCAATTGAGGTGGTGCCGTACCAACGCCGTTGTATTTTTTAGCGTTTGTGATTTCCGACTTTGATGAAAGAGAAAAATCTTAAGTTTGTAGGTAGGCGGCCGATATTTCTTGCACAACGCCACGATCGGCGGTACGTTCGACGCGCATCAGTCGCGTTTGTACTCTGCTGGTCGTCGGTCGTGCGCTCGTTTGGCGTTCTCCGTGACGTGCGCGGCGCTACTCGTTGTGTGCATAATTCGTAGGAGCTGAGAATCGGGTGCACTCTTCAAATGGGGTCCTCGACGGCGGTAAATAAGTGATGTGCTCCTCTTTGTTGCGTTTGGAGAAAACGACACTTTTAATTCTGGTAAACTCGATAAGACGTAGCTTTTGCGATTTTTTCGTCTGCTCAATTGTTTTCTCTCGTCGCGGTTTACGTCGCATTGACCGATTCGTTAATCGAAGCAAATTGAATTTATTGTTGCTGTTGGCCCTACCAAAAAAATAATCATTAACATCTCCAGCCAACAAACCCACACACGTGTTTGCGCAACATGCCCACTACCTACCGGTTAATTTTTTGACCCCGTCGGACGTCGTCGTTCGTTACAGTCTGGTCAGAAAAGGCGTAACGTCACGTCTTTCCGAATTATTTGTCCGTATCCTTTTTCACGCAGCTTCCACGGTCCGCCGGATCCGGTGTGGAAAAACAATCGATTTGTTCTGATCGGTCAATGTCGTTGTACACGATATCATCCGCCTTTGTTCTCCGGTCAATTTAGCAGACGTTTCTATTGTTTATTATTGAAAAACACCGTGCGCATATGTGGTTTTTCAGCTTGATTTCTTTTAACACGGCCTAGCATGCCTTCGCCGAGCATCGAACACCTTTGCAACGGCGCTACCACGTTTCTGTCGCCGACATCGGATCGCGGACTGCTGACATCGCTCAACAACAGTCTGAGCTTCGTCAAGTTAAATCGACGGTCCGTGTCGCCCACTTCGCTCAAGCCGTTCAACTGCAGCCGTCGGTATGCCGAGATCGGCAAGAGGAGACTGTTTTTTAGGTGAGCGAAACACAGCAACATCTGTTACCGTAGCTTTTATATTTTTATTCGGAAACTCGGTATTTTATACGAACACGAAACCGGAGCCCGCGATAAAATCACGGTTTATAGAAATCGAATGCAAAGTAAGACTAAACAGAATTTCCGATATGACGGCAAAACAAACTCCCGAGTGGATTTTCTTTCAAGTCCGTAAACGGAGTTTATGTAAACCGTTCGCAATGTTTGTTAAGAGCTGTATTATTCGTTATGGAGACGTTTCATACAAATATGAAAAGCACTAGTCGTTTTTATAGTACCGTTTCGTGGAATCGAATAGATGAATCGTTTTTCAAGGGTTTCAATTTTTATAAGTGGTATTGTCCTATTTAATTTGGTCGGCATCGTTTTTCAAAGACTATTAAGATCGACGCAATGAAAAATTCTAAAACCACTGGAGCTCAGCTCGAATAGGAAATCCTGATTAATATTTATGTACAAATAAATTTTTCGTTTTATTCTATATAAGACCGTGAAATTTGTTAGTATTATCCCCTTAATCCCGTCGGCTAAAACATTTTACCAAACTTTATTAAACGAAGTTGTTCAAAACTCTTTAATCTTAAATGTGATTATTCCTCGCCAAAGTTTTCTAAGTAAATATTTACACTCTACATTTGCACTTCTTATAGAAAATTCATCCGACGAGTTGGTTTTGTTTGATAAATTGTTAAGGATATCTGATTATAATTTAAAATACTATTATCATCGCAATATTGAATCATAAAGAAATATTCATGTGAAATATTTTCTTAACCTTGAAAACCATATTAACTGAGACAATTTTATTAAAACTCGAAAAATAATGGGTTTAAACCATTTTTCGCCCACTGGTGGCCTTCGTTTCATTCTCAAGTCGGAGCAGAATTTAGTGAATGTAACTGCTTAGTTATGATGTGGTAACATTTGATTCAAGATGATTATCAATCAATAGCTAATTAAAATTATTATGTATACGCCCATTTACGAATGTTAAAGACTATTTAAAAATAATATTTCGTATAACGCGACGAGTACTCATAAACAAGTGGCTGTTGACTTGAAAAGGAAATGTAATTTTTAAACGCAATAGAATGTCGTCAGTCATTTTACACGATGGCTTTTACTTGAAACTTTTGAATAATTGCATTGAAAGCTCACAAATGGACAGAGTTTCATGGTCCTTATCGGCAGACGCACATTTCGCTTTGTAGTACTCAATATTACTTCATTGTTCGGTACCTAAAAGTTTCCGTTTCGCTCCAGTCCATTAATCCGATTACTGGGCTCTCAATCTTTCCATTTCTGCACTTTTCTAAAAGCATTTTCTTCCGTATTGTTTTTAAAAATATATATTTTTTTTACTTTCAATGTTTTTGAACAATATCCGGTATTTTTATATTTTATAAATTAGTCTGTTAAAACAACAAGCTAGCGAGATTTTAATCGACATAGACAAGGCAGTGGAGTTCAGCCAAATCGACTATCGTTAATGGCATACTGAAACAATACTCTGCTAACGATTGAAATTGCTTCTTCCTTTTCTGGAAAATCGTTTTGCCTACAAATGAATTGTCGCGCACAAACTTATGGTTAATTAAATTTAACCAGCTATGCTTTTCCAGCCGTTCATTAGCGCTGCGTGAATATTTATAAACTCCGATTGGCGTGTACACTGTTTGTTTAATATGTCATTTCGGAATATTGAATGACTTTGTACATAAATTTGATGTTTAACTTTTTTTTTTTTTTTAATAAATAGTAATATTTTGTATGTATTCCTATAAATATATTTTTGAAAACTTTTACAAGAGAAATTTATCTGGAAAATGTTTTAATCGTAAAAATGATTCTTGAGAATACTTTAGTTTCATAAAACAATTATTAATAGTTAAGTTAGTGATGTCCTTTAAATTTCAACATTAGTTTTTACTTCTAGAAACTCTTTAATAGTTTTATTTTAGCCTAAATATTGTTCATTATCACAATAAAAACAAAATGACTTTAAATCAGTCTTTTTCACGAATCAATTTCAGTAATCAAATAATTTCAATATTTTTACTATAGGCGCTTATTAAAACGCATAAAGATAAATTTAAAAAAAATTATACAATTATTTTTATTTGTTTTGAAATTTTTCGTTTCATTTAACATATAGCGTTCGTTAATAAATCACAATTTCTTTATCAATACGTATATTGTTTAGTATTTGTTTTTTTTATTCTCAATCTCCATAGATTATTGATCGTGTTATGAGAATGAAGACCGTTTTTTGATTTCACTCTAAATATTATCTATTCGTTTTTTTTTAAACTGCAACTGGATACGTTAAATATTTGGCGGTCATGACATTTATGAAATAATTGAATCTTCATGTGAAGTAATAAATTTGAAATGGAGTCATCATTAATTGATCTAAGTTGGACCAATCCGTTATAATTTAGTAAACCTAGGGTTCATAGAACATGGATTATGGTTATTTACTAGATATTTAAGACACGAAAGTCTTGGTATTTTCTTATTTTTCTCTTCCTTTTTCAAAGCCCAGCATTGCGTAATCGTTTATCCGTGAATATTTCATGAATCTCTTGAGTTGATTAGACCACCGTAGTAGTAGATACAACCTAAACGCATGCATAAAACATTTTTCATACTTGCTCACGCTTGGCCCAAATTGTAATAGGCAGTGTAGTTTAAAAAAACATGACAGGCTAAAAAGGTCTTGGACCTTTTATTGAATGGGTCGCGAGGTTTGTCGATTTAGTGAGGGTGGCGAAATGTCGTCTGCGGGTCTGTACAAATTGGTGCATGTTTATTTTTATTTTTGCTTTGTGGACCTGTCCAATAAAAATACTCATCAAAATAGTGGAGTCGGCTTGTTTTACGAGTAATAGTGCACATGTAACTTTATGACATACGGGTAGTTCAAATTTAGGTTACAAAACTTGTGGCCACTTCACTGTATATGCTCTTTTAATAACAGTGAATTCGTTATTTTTTTTTTTATAAGCGAAAATAGAACTTTGATGCATACAGACTGTCAAACCTTTCTTATTCTCATTATGAACCACTTTTATTGTTCACGAAATTTTTTTAATCGAATTTATCAATTTACATAGCATAGTATTAATGTACTAATAACGAATTACTCGTAAGTGTAAAATCTGATTCATTCATGAAATTAGTGTCACTGGAAAGACATCGGCTTTCGATGATTCTCCGGAACATCGAGAAGGTCATATACAATTGCTTACATACTGCGTTTTAATTTGAAGTTTGTTTACTTAATATGTTCACTCGTTTTTAAAAAAGTATTTTCGTGTTTCTCCGGGGTATCCATAATTCATATGGAAACGTAAAAGTCATGAAACCAAATCTCGTTCATTTTTCAAAGCAATACAATTTCTTTGATATATTCTATACTAAAATATTATTATGTTCTTGTATGCGATACTGTTATTTTGTTGTTGGGAAAAATTTATATTACCAATTCAATTATGATTTATGAATGTCATCGTNTTTTTTTTGTCATTTGAATCACTCTGTATTTTTATATTTTTCATTTGGATCACTCTGTATACACGATTTTTTTAAAATGCTCTGATTTCAATTATTTCCTCATTAGTAGATGCATACAGACTGTCAAACCTTTCTTATTTTCATTATTAACCACTTTTATTGTTTACGAAATTTTTTTAATCGAATTTATCAATTTACATTGCATAGTATTAATTTACTAATTACGAATTACTCGTAAAATCTGATTCATTCATAAAATTAGTGTGTCACTGGAAAGACATCGGCTTTCGATAATTCTCCGGAACATCGAGAAGGTCATATACAATTGCTTACATACTGCGTTTTAATTTGAAGTTTGTTTACTTAATATGTTCATTCGTTTTTAAAAAAATATTGTCGTGTTTCTCCGGGGTATCCATAATTCATATGGAAACGTAAAAGTCATGAAACCAAATGTCGTTCATTTTTCAAAGCAATACAATTTCTTTGATATATTCTATAGTAAAAAATTATTATTTTCTTGTATGCGATACTGTTATTTTGTTATTGGGAAAAATTTATATTACCAATTCAATTATGATTTATGAATGTCATCATCAGGTGTTGATCGATTCACTGATGTGCAGTATTTTGTTTATCAGTATTTGTAGCCTATAAATATATTACCATAAAATAATCGCTCCAACTCTTATTTTTAAGAAATGAATGTAATTTAAAACTAAATCAAATTTATTCATAACCTCACATCAATCGAAATATCTTTGGATTGTGTTTTGGTACTTCTTTAAACCGTAAAAAAAAATTATCATATTCAAATTGGTCAGGAGGCCGATCATTCTATGAGAGGGTATTAGGAACATGTTGTGTAATTGAAATGACTCATTCTCTTGTGCATTAGAGGGTGATTGCACGAAGAATAATTTTTATCCATATGAATACTGTATGTATATTGTATAAACTAACATTGTTGGGGTAGTGGGGGACTCATGTAGCTACAGACAGTATCCATGGTGACGGTCGGCGGTCTGTCTGTGACATTCGACCAACGGGTATAGGAAGTATAAGGGTACCGCCGACAATAGAACTACCCCAATTGCCCTTTTATCAAATATAATCCTTTATTACCTTATAACTCTAAAATAATGCATTGGACGTCAATCTATAATTCGATTTTGTTCAACAGAACAAGTCTTGTAAAATCAACTTTAACAAATAATTCCGTGTTCNCAAGTCTTGTAAAATCAACTTTAACAAATAATTCCGTGTTCATACGTATTTTTAAAAATTATATTAAAGGTAAACTCAATGATCTGGTTTATTAGATTTGACATGAAACCATTCCTCGAAGACATTTTATGAAGCGTAGTATTTTTTATATCGTTACCGAAAATTCTTAGAAGAAGTAGCTNTCATACGTATTTTTAAAAATTATATTAAAGGTAAACTCAATGATCTGGTTTATTAGATTTGACATGAAACCATTCCTCGAAGGCATTTTATGAAGCGTAGTATTTTTTATATCGTTACCGAAAATTCTTAGAAGAAGTAGCTCTAAGCATTTTATAAATATAAAAATAAATAACTATTAAGTTACAGTTAATACATAGGAATTTCACTAAGCAATTTATTATTTGTAATCAGTTATAACTTATTATACTTATGTAATTTATTTTTTACTGCTGTAGTTCAAAGTTTATTCACCAGATAATCATATATTTTTATAAAATAATGTCTGTGAGAAAGTTATATTTTTATCCAAATCAAAAACGTTTAATGGAAAAGCTCATTTAATGTTAAATTTTGTTTCTGTCTAGTTGAACGCTATGAGCATTGGTATTCGTTGTTTTATTATTTTATTTTATATGTCATATATAATGACTAACTTTGCAGTTACATGATATACTTTAATAGCTATCCATAAAATCAATTCGTTAAGTAATTGTATACGCATTACTGAGTTGCCATCAATTACATTTACTTGTTATTTAGTTTGTTGTTTACTGTTCGCTTATTCGGTCTAATTTTAACTAATGCCTGAACAATTAATCCACTGAAATCATCATTATGCATGCTTATTTTAAGTTTTTACTACATACTACTTGGTAATGCCGTTTTTTACGTTTATTTATTATAAATCTTAAATATTTGTAATAAATTAATAGGATTATAAAAATTTAGTACGATTGTCATTCAATTACTTACTTAAATATTCAACTTAAGATATTATTTATCTATTCATATAATTAAAGTAATGCGTCTAGAATCGAACGAACCCTACACTAATATTAAATAATTTATTAAATGAGCCTCTCAAACAGCCAATTTTCTAAACTAATGTTTATGCACATCTAACACCAAATCTTATCATTAAGCCGATTGAATAACTGTGAAATTCTCATCTTGTCACTTCGTCATAGTTCTATACAGTCTCTACCCTTTTGTTAAATTCAAATCCCTTTGGCTTTTCTCTGCACTGTTCTTTATAGTACTGAATGAAGACTGATAAGAAGCTTTTTAAAGTACCTTAAGCTTTTATTTAATACTACGTGAATGCTTTTGTAGTTTATATTTAAAATATTATCTCTCCAGCTGCAGTCGTAGCGATTACGATACTAGTGGTGGCTAAAATATTCATAACTCACTTATCCCACTCACTATTTCGTAGTAATTACAAATTATATGTGTTTCGTAAGTAGTTTTCCGAATGATATCACTTAATACTACTATTTTATTAATTTAACCTTCCTTTTTAACGTGAAGACTAGCATATACTTCCCTAACCAACTAATTGAAAGATTGTTTTGTTTGAGTGTCTTTTTGTTGTTATGTTTGATTACTGTTGTTGATACAAAACGTTGAACTCGAAACGAACTGCTTTGCAAATAAACAAAAGCTTTGTTTCCTTTAGAACACATACCACCTACCACATGACAAGTACGGACAGTAATTGCTCTTTTAGAAGAAAGGGTTGTGTCCGTATCAATAAAATGAACCTTAAATTTTGAAAACACACTTTGTCCATTTAATCTGACTTTTTCAATTTGTATTCAAATGTCATCTAAGTTACACAACATTCTTTCCGATACTAATAATTATTTTCATATTGTACTGTAAAACAGGCTGTTTTTGTTTCTTATTGTAATTTTTGTTATTAAGCTAAAAACAATCAATATATATTCCAACAGCAGTCACGATTATTTGTATTTTGGCGTCGAACTACGATCTCGTCTTGTCACTGCTAGTAAAAAAGGGGAAATCTCAATAAAAGTCTGAAGCCTAAAAACTTTGACGCCTAAACGAACAGTGTGTAAAACGATAAAATCTAAATGACTATTGAAGCAATTATATACATTTCGAGTCATCTCCCCTCAACGAAAGCAACGCTTCTTCTGCGATATATAATAATAATAATATTATTATTGTATGTCGTCTAGGGTAAATTTATAATGACATTAATTCCACAGATATCGGATAAACTTGTTAAAACTTAATTATGATTTCGTTATAACTCAAAATTACATTAATTTTATCGTAATCATAAAATTTTTACAAAACTACTTACACTACTGTAAATTGTTTATTTGGTATTTGTTTAAATAAAACTATACGCAAAACATTAAATCAATGCCCGAACAAAGGCTAGGCACGTAACTCCTCCCGTTTAAAGCAGTAGCACAGTTAGGAATTTATTTTGAGGGGATATACTTAAAAAAAAATATTTTTTACGTGAAAAAAAATTCTACCTTTACTATGTAGTCATTTTTACTGGGGATCTATCTTACTTCAACCCCTTCCCTCTTGGCACAAGAACTCCGCAATTATGATTTGTCTTGAGCACTGCATAAAATACAAAACTTAATTTATGTTTATTTTGCAGGGGTGACGCATTTCTTGAATCGTATATTGACGGTCTGGCGAGAACTCAGGGGCCTTTGGTGGGTGGTGGAACCACCGAAGATGAAGATGTCGATAGCAACTTGGTTCAAAATAACAAGAAAAAGTTTCAAGACGATGGAGATGAGTATCCTGACGGACGAGACTTCAAACTCATTCATCTATCACAAGTAAGTCAGAAATTGTTTATTCACAGATAGGTACATTTTAATGTTATATTCAAGTTAAAAAATGTTATTACTAAAACGAGCCACCGACCACTGCATATTTAATATTACCGAAATGGTCGAGGCAAGCTCAGCGAGGGGCCTTTTATTGACCTATTGTAAATGATTCAGTAAAAACAATTTCGTATCCGTAAAACGAAATTTTATATGCGTTTTTACTAGTCCACCAAGCTATTAATCTAACGATAAAACCTTCAGTCATAAATCGTTAGTCGTACAAATAAATTCACACAAAATGCGCATAGTGCTACGGGATTAATTCTAATAAAAGGCAATTGAGCGCATCATTTAGCAAATAACCATAACGTTTACAGTCTTCACAGTCATTACTAATAAGTAATATCAGCAAGGGTCATTTGTTTTTCGTGGCTCTACTAAACTCAAACTGTTTGAGCTTATACGTTTCGCCGTTTTAATAAAAATGTATCAATATATTCATACATAATTTACATTTTATTTAATTTATAAATCCCTTTGGCATCTTGATACACTTCTTCTTTCGTTTAAACACGTTTTGATATTCCTAAAAAGCTCCGTTTTTCCATTATGAATTACTTTAATTTCTCACGGATCATTCCAAAAACTCAAACGCAACATTTAACTGAAAAAATTTCTCAAATGTGTCCGCATGAGTATTTTTAATAATTGGTATAGTCTTCAGACTATAGCTGGCAACGCAATAAAAATGTCCATCAACAATTCAAAGGTGATGTTGGCAAAGTTCCAGAAAAGCTTTTCACGGACCGATTGCGCGTCGCTCCCGACTACTGTGTGTGGTTAGCTCGAATTAAGATTTTTTTCCCTACGAATTATTATGTTACAATTGACAGACACTTTAATAGTTTTTATTTCTGATTGCTCATGTCAAAAAAAAAAATTGCAGCTTTATTGTTCTACCCACATATCGTGTATTGTTTGTTATTTAACTTCAATACACATGTACCTACACATTCACGCACAAACGTCATCGGGCCCCCGCTGTCTACCGACTTGAACGATGTCTGAATATCAATGAGAGCAGTCTATGCTTATTGTATAATTTATCGATTTCAACAGATTATTCGTTTCCCATTTGTCTCAGATGTTTCACTACTGTTATTTGGAATACATCTGAAATAATATTTTTTAGTAATAACAACTCGGAGCTTAATTAAATAATTTACTTTAGTCGTATTAAATTAAGACTTCTTAACCGAGTGAATTTATTTTAAATAGTTTTATTAATTATTTACTAATTTTATTGAATAATTTTTCATATGTTCTGAGTTTTGTTTGTTTCTAATGTGTAAAATAAAAATGTTGATTTTGATCATGGAAAAACCATTCTCAAACATTTCTGTTTTTATTGGTATTTTCCATTTTCATTAACAATTTTTTCTTTTCTTACAGTTAGACGTGTTCGTTCAAGTTTAACAACGTCCGTATAATATATCAGACATTTTTTTGCCTGCGTTTCTTCGGAACGTAAATACCTTATCAGATGTAATTTGACATGGCCGTTGCGATTTCTATGGTTTTTACTATAAAAACAATGTGTATATAGTAAAAAATAAAGTTACCAAACAACTTGTGCGAGACTAGTGTTTACACTAAGTCTATTATTTTAAAATTTCAGAGACTGCTTAAAAAAAACAATTCCAAGTACAGCCGTTCAAAAACTAAACTAGATTAGAGTAAACTGATGTGTAAATTAGACGTTATTCATCTATACAATATATAAAAATACCGTTTCAATTAACCGTTGCTATCTGCCGAGATAACTAGATAGAACATCAAACACTTAAATTAATTATTTCAAAAGTACATATAAAATATAATGAGTTAAACAAATTTCTATTTTTTCTTATTTTTACAATTTATGCTAAAGTCATAATTACTACATTGATTATCGAATGTTTCAATAGGATCGATACAGTTAAACGATTGAGAATAAATAAATATTTTTATTAACTCGTTGAAGTTAAAAAAGTAAAATTTAGAAATTCCAAAAATTATTAAATGTATGAATTCTGTTAAGATTATTAGATGTACATCAGTAAGTTAGCGTATATTATTATGTTTTCATATATTTTGTGTACAGTTACTTAAAAAATCCCAAAACCTGGTTTTTCAATACTAACTGTTACAATTATTAGAGTTTTAATTCGAATTTATATCTGATTAAATAATTTAAGTTCTACTCGTATTGTACTCAATTACATACATTTCCCTTCAATATCTCCGTATAATTGTGGATGATTATTAAAACTACTAATAAAAACGTGACGTCCATTATTTTGACATTTTTAATTCTAGTTTAAGTCGTATTATATTACTGTACTCGATGGTTTCATTAAATATACTGATCACGCTTACATGCTTTTAAATAAAAAACTATTTGAGTGTCATAAGTGTGTCAGTCAAAACATATAGACTTATATATATTTATATGACTGACGTATAAATTTGTAATGTAAAAATTATAAACTATGAATCAATTGTACTTGTAAAAATTAATTCAATAACGAATTACTTTAATTGAATTTGACATTTAACTTTAAAGTATACCATTATGATTTAATTATTTTGATTATTTATCATGATAAATATTCTTTAGAACCGATATTTTTAGCAAGTTTAACCTTCACATTTAACTTTCTATTTGCTCATATAATTATATTTAAGTCACAATTATTCAGTTTTATCGTCATTTCTACAAAAGGTTTAATATTTATTTATGAAAAAACTCGTACTTGTGATTTCCTTAAAAACTGACTTCATTATAGTTTTCATTCAGAATGTTTTAATTAAAACGTGTAGTTACTCCTCGTCATAACTATCATCTCTTTTAATTTGTACAATTTTGAAAATCTCATAAATATGCTGCCGAGCTGTTACTNTCTCTTTTAATTTGTACAATTTTGAAAATCTCATAAATATGCTGCCGAGCTGTTACTAACAAAAATATTAAACATTTTAAGCGTTTAATTTTAATAATTATCTGCTCAAAACTTAATTAAAATTAGATACAGCTCTTCAAGTATACATATACGCGTATNCTAACAAAAATATTAAACATTTTAAGCGTTTAATTTTAATAATTATCTGCTCAAAACTTAATTAAAATTAGATACAGCTCTTTAAGTATACATATACGCGTATAGTCTAAAAGAGTTTAAAAATTAAAGAGCATACGGACTTGAATGTTTTGTTCGAATTAAATATTCTTATAGTTGAAAAGTAACAGTTTAACACGACATAAGTTGTATTTTATACTTTCGTTGTTTTTTCTCGTTTTCAATTAATACCATCTACTCACGGTTCGGTGCTTTGAATGCCTATCATATTGCATGTACTTAACGGCAATGAACAAGTCGTGTACTTTCTTCTCTTTCACTTTCCGCATTAAAATAATATGTACAAAGATGCTGCAATGTCTCTAGGGTAAAGTTTTTGGATCGTTGAACCTCTCTTGTCGTCCCACAACCCTCTGTCATTTCACCGTCATATACTCAACGCCGCTGTCGCTTCAATAAAAGACATTCCTCCCCTGAAGCAACCATGTGTATGGTCACCGCCGGCCTGCTCTGTGAATTACCCTCTAACCGACTGTATATAATACATGGGCTTTTATCAGTCATTTAGATCTATGCCGATTACCGCATAGATCGAGCCGACCGAGTAAGACTTCTTTGGACAGAACCAAAAGGGTGACTGAGATTACGAAAAACGCAACATGTACTACACAAAAACCGTATTTTATTGTGTATAACTGTTGTTAAACGACGTCAATGTGGTGGTAAATGATAGTTTTCAAAAAGTTCATCGACGCATAAGATCAAAAGTGCATTATAAGCCAACAACATCGTGTTTCATGTTTATTTACTATATGAAACGATTAAAATACTCCGAAAATAATGGAGAATAATACTTTTTGAACTCGCATAATTATTAATAATGACCTAAAATGAGTACATTCAGCATAATTCAGTATACTTTTTATTGGTATTAAAATATTGTTTTCATTATTCTTTAGTATGCCATCTAATGATAAGACTGGCTTAATTAAAAGTTCCCAAACAACTCGCCCTATTACGTTAATTCAAAACTACATCTATTTGCGTTGCAGCCCGTTGGTGATTATTTCGTGCGATTGCCGCGGTGTTATAATCATTTTGGAAATGTATTCGCTAAATTACCATTTTACCCACCGAAAACAATTTCATGTTGAACAGACAGAGAGTAGTCAACATTACTAGGAACCCGTGTTTACAGTATTCACCGTTGATTATTATGCATAAATTATTTCTTTAGTATTCCTTAAGTGATTACCACACTTAAGTTTTTGTGTATTTCGGAGGTTTTATGGAATAAATATGTGGGGTACCGTTAGGATTATTTTTTTACGAATATCAAACGCGCGCCCATCGAAAATTTGACATCCATCGACGTTCGTATTTTTATCAGCATACACATCTTGTTGAAAACATAAAAAAGTTTTATTAAACTTGAACATATTTAATGTTGTCCCTTCAAATTGTACACCTAATCTCATAATGAATCACAATGGTCCGTATGGATATGTAGCCAATTTTTTTTTTTTTTTTTAGACGTCAAACTGATTTTTTTTTAAATTAAATTTTGTCGATCACATAGATATTTTCAATTTGAGTTTTAATTGACGACAGGCATAATTAAGTTTTTGAGCTCTTTCAGTTGTAGAGACCGTCTCGATCAGTGGTTAGAACTATTCGTAGGAATTTATTACTTAAGAAATGGTGTTGGTAACTAAAATTGTGTTTATTTTTTCTTCGGTCGGCAGTCATAGTAAATGTTGACGATAACGCGATGAATAATCGACTTTGGGCTAAATGCCAACTGAGTGTACGCGGTCGCAAAACTAATTTTTTTGTGTATTAAGTTGACCACCGTCCGCATAAGGATAACGGGCGACAATCAGTAACGCCGCCAGTTTCGTTTCCGAATTCTCAACACAATAATTATGTGCTCGTTAAGCGATTCGCGTGGCGTTTTATAACAGTCGGCATATCCAGTAAATAAATATGGATGGATGTCAGTGTATAAGTTTTTTAACGAACGCCGCGTTATTAATACTAGTGTTGAAAAAAAATAACGTTTGTCGGAGCTGAAACCTTATACATTTTCGTCCAGTATGGCGGCGTTGTCATTTTTCTCGCGGTTATTTGTCAGTACACTTTTTTTTCTGTACGTTACATTTTTTTCATACTAAGCGTTTCTATCTGGTGTTGTTTTTATTATTGTTATTATCGTCGAGCTCCAAGTGCAATACTCTCGACAACACGGGGCGCGCCTTTTTTTTAAATGTTGAAAAAAAAAATCGATCAACGTGCCACTTGATCTCAAAAAAAAAAGACAATAATGATAACTAGAATTATCTTAATATTATAACATGTAAATGGTAAGTCAACGTTTTCTCTCGACTGTTTTGTTTCAAATTTGTTTTTAATAAATTGATTATTTTTTTTTTGTAGCGTATTTAATAGCGTTTCTTTATAATGATGTAATTATTCTTTATGATAATGATGCAAAAGTTGAACAAACTTACATAAAATTATTCAACGCGACGAATTTTTATTGGTATAAAAAACGCCCGATATTTTTTCGCCGTTCAAATAATTATGTAATTGTAATAATATTTTCAACTAGAGTTTCGAAGTTTTCCTCCGTCAATTCTATTTGGACGATTTCCTTCCACCTTAATTGCAGCATAGAAAACGTGAACAGTCTCCCTACATAATGTTGTATTCCACAAACACTTTCAAATGCAATTTTGGAAACGCTAGATGAAAAAAAAAACTATAGAGTGGAGTTGGCAAAAGTTTTGGTGACGCTAATTGAAAATCCTTGTATATATATATACCCAACGGAAACTCTCGGAAGTTACCCGTTGTGTCCTGCAGATTCGTGTATTGTTGAGCTGAAGCACTTACTATTTTTCGTTCGAGAAGAACTTCACATCCACCTGTAATCCTTAACGTGTGATGGCGTGTGGTCGCGCAGAGTCTTCTTTAATCAAGTGGATCCCGTGCCAAATCCAGCTCGATGCTATAAACTACCCTATTATCCGTGCAGAATTTGCCAACTGCAATTAAATGCAAACCGACCCCTTCTGTAATTTGCTTTATACGTTTCTAGGTTTAATAGTTGTGCGTTGGCTTAAAACTAAGTTAGAATCACGATTTCATCGAAAAAGTCCCTAATGAGATAAATAGAGTTAAAATTTCTCGTTTTACTAACATGGGTCTTATATTACATACCTTATCTATATTTTTAACCTCTCAATTATTATGTGGTGGAATTAATCTCTATGATACATATACTGTATGCGTACACGTAGTATTGTGTTCACATTTTGTACGAAAGCGTTTTTGATCACGTTTAAAATAAAAAAAATTATGTTAACGCATGCGTCATTGTACGTGGCCCTTGTGGTATTTCTTATCTGTACTTGTGTCACTCCTCTTCTTAATTTGGAAAAAACGCGTATAATTTAATCCTGTACTGCAAATATACGTTAACAATAACTAGAATGTACACGATTTCCATAAAACAATGAAATGAATTAATTGTACTTGTTTTGATTACATTTAAATTGTTTTATTATTTTCACATTTTATTACTAAAATGTATATTTACGTTGTGTGTTGACTATTGTTATTTGTGAAGTGTTGTAATCACGGTCAGTAATGATCTACAGATGATGAACAGATGAGTGGAATTAAAAATAAAAACAAAAATTACTTGGACCATAATGATGTCACAGTTTTCTACTTACTACATTGACGTGGACCACTATTATTAGACTAACGGCAATGGCGACCTTAAAATAATTACTGAAAAGAACCGTAAAGCCTATGTGAACTTGGCGCCAACTTTAGTGTATTGGGTTTCGCCACGTTCCCAAACAGGAGCATTTGAAAAAATATTTTAAAAGCGCTGCCTGTTGATTAACGCGGCTACACTTTACAGAAAGTAAAACGCTTTGTTACTTCCGTTGCGTTTTATTACGTCGTTACTAATCATTACAATCTTCGCTCTCGGGTCCGCAATTTATTTTAATGAATTCTGAGGTACCGACCGTAAAAAACCGTACAAATTAACAACATCCCTTAAGAGTTATTACTGAATTTATTTATATTAATAGCTAGATTTAATTATGTTGATATATAATTGCGTCTGTTGTTTTCAGTAACATTTATAGCGGTTTGTGATGATATGTCATTCGGTTTATAATTAACTCATTACAATTTTTTAGGACGAAGACGATTACGAATCTAGCAGTGGATCACTGAGATCCGGTTCCGGTGATGCGGCTAGTTGTGATATTGGATTGCTCGAACGTCTCATCCGGAGTCACCCAATTTGGTTTCTTCCAGGTATACAGCGAGCCGGCGCATTCCATTTGTTACAGGGCAAAGACGACGGAGTGAGTAAACTCTCATTATTTAACAATTACATTTCTTTGATTTGCTTTAACATTTATTATGTTATCCAACTGTTGTTAATAAAAAATATGTTTTTGCTCTAGAATTTTGTTGTACGACAATCCAGCCAGACTGGTACAATGGCAATTTCTGTTCGACTGCCCAGTGGAAAAGGACCTTACATAGAGCACTATCTAATCCAAGCGACGTCAGATAACCGATTGGCTTTGGAAAGTTCGGACAACAAGTTCGATAGCATACCTATGTTAATTGCTCATTACGCTCAATGCTGGTAAATTATATAATCATTAAAATATTAAGCGTGATTTTTAATTAATGCTATTTTTTCAGTGACGAATTACCCGTACAGCTTATGTTACCAAAAGCCATACAAGAAGCTAAGAATCGACAACAACTCTCTTCTTTAGCTTTACTTGGTCAAGGTATACTATATGAAAACTTGGCTATTTCAATATTTTCTTTCAATAACTTCTTTTTGTTTTACTCGATGTTAACAGAATTTTGGCGGTATCCCATGGCTAATTCAGGATTTTCTTTGTCGATAGTAAATTCGCCTAATGACGAATCCACTAAAAGAACATTGAATACTTCCATTCCAAGTAGCGCTGCAAATAGTCAATCTAGTAGTCTTAGTAGTTTTAGCAGTGGTAATAGTTGTATAGAGATGATTATATTAAATTGAAATACTTACTAATGAAATAAATTGCGTAGGTAACAATAATCAAGAATCTGGTTCCATAGAAAATCAATTATCAATTGAAGAACTATCTACCAGTCCAGCAGAAAGTTCACAGCAGACAAATGGTGTTATGACAACTTTTAAAAATTCTTATAAAGATGGTATTTACTATTTATAATAACAATTCTTATTTATTCTCAAAATTACTTAATTTTTTTTCTAGGAACTGTCTCCTCGTCTGATAATTTAACTGGAGTATTGCTACCAAGTGGAAGAACTCGGCCAACACCTCCAAATACCCTGAATTTGAAGTCCTCTAATACTCCTAATACTGTAGACAATATTTCTTCTCTACATGTGGCCAAAACTCCTCCACCACCTCCTCCACGTTGGGCTAAACCAGTTACTGGCCAACAAAACTTCACTGTGACTACTACTGTTACATTTAACTTGCATAAAGAAACATCTCCTTCGCCATTATCATTACTACCATCTGGACCAATATCAAAATCGACTGATGATAGTGAAATTATGCCTCCAATCAAAAGCCCACCAGGATCTGATATAATGTCTCCCATTTCAGATACTGGGGGTGTAATCCGTTCTGGTCGTCGTACCAAAAAAAATAGAATCAAGCAATCTAGACATTATAGAGAAAGCGACATCTTAGAAACCACTAGTGTATACCATAGAAGTGCTTTTGCTGACAAAGCTAGTGATTATGAAGATGTATGGGGTCCAGATTCATCGTTATCAACATTTAAAACCCCTACATCATCTGTTCATAGTAATAATGATACTTATAAGAAATATGCTCCAAATATAGAGACCGACATGCCACCAGACATCCTGGAACAAACAGCAAATGTTCAAAACAATCCTAAAAATACATTGGGATTGGTTTTACAACAAAGCCAGAATACTGATCTCCCATCAATAACTGATAGTATGACTAGTTTGTTATCACCAGGAACTCCAGAAATAAAATCTCCCTCTCCTGAGGATGACCTTCCAAAAGCCAAGCAAGGTAGCCCATTTTATGCTGAACCTGCTGATGCTATTAAACAGGTATATATATTTTTTTTAACATAAGAAATTATTAAATGTAATTATAAATTACATTTTTTTTTATTTAGGCGGCTTTCTTGAGACGTAAATCAAAACCATCAATATCAAACAATCGAAATAGACATTCAGAGCCAAGTTTCCTCCATCAATGGCCTGTATTGGTTGGTTGTAGTCAATTGCCTCGTATTGATTCTAAAGAAGAGTTATTATCCCCTAATGGAAATTATTCAACCAACCAAGCATTTTCATCATCTGTAGATAATATACCATTACTAAGGAATTCTAAAAGAGAACAATTAAAAACTGGTAAACCTGTGGACACACCAAAAATTGGTGGCCCACCTAAACGTGGTCAGGATGGACCATGGGCTGTAGATTCTAGCTGGGAATTTATAGGAAAGGATAATGAAATATCTGCTACTACACCTTTAGATAATGATCAAACAACTTCTGCTGATCAAATACCAAGTGATATTCCAAGAGAAATTTCTGGATCCAAAGGACCTACTATTCAAGAAATTATATTACAGAGGTTAAAAACGAAAATAAAATTATTAATACCTGATTATTATTTAATATATATATTTATTTTTTGTCATTCAGGTTACCTCATTTGAGCTTGTATATCAAAGAACCTAGTTCCCTTTCATGTAATTATGGAAATAATCCATCTCAAAATTACTTATCTACTGATAATATCAACAATAATTCACTGAACTTAAGTGGCTTTAGTAATCTTTCCTTATTATCTCAAAATAGTGATGATGATGCAAAAGTAATTATTTTTATCAACATTTATTTAACTACTTTTGATTAAATATGGATGGTTGTTTTCTTAGACTGAATTTTCTGAGCCCTGGGATAGTTCTAGATGGGAAAATTTATTACCTGCTTCTTCAAATAAAGAACAAAGTACCAACAATATCAAACAATTAGTTAATCGCAACAAAAGTTTCTCAGAACGTTTGGATCCTCTCTTAGGTAAAAAGTTTATTTTTAATTCATTTAAAAAAATTATTCTAATGTGAAATTTTATTTAATTTTACCACATTTTTTAAAAATTATTTTATTTATTTTTATTTTATACAGCTGCTCCTCGAATCCAAGCTCTTGCGAAAAGCCGTTTAATGGCCCAAACTGGTACTGGCTCTTCAACTAGAGAATATGCCTTACAGTTGGCTGCTGATAAATCTACAGTGTTTGCTCAGTCTATTGATAACTTTATATGTTGTACAGTTGAATCTAAAGAAACTAATCCATCTGTCGTTATGAGGAATGTTCGACAATTTATGTCTGGCATGAAGAATTACTTATTAAAACATGGAGAAAAAGAGTTTCAAAAAGTAGTTGAGAAAGAAAGAAGTCAGGTATCGTGTCTCTTATTTTCTATTATATTTTCATAAATAATATATTATGGTTTTTTCTCTATTGTAGTTGAAACCTACCGAATTTTTAAATCTCGATGTTATATTAGAAGGTGTATTGAATCGATTAGTGCTTAAAGAACTTCGGCAACATTTATATAGTTTATTAGTAGATGAGTATGTGAATAATGGTTCTATACCATCAATGGTAGAAAATATTCATTTTGCCAAGTCAAAAACTTTGCAAGACTTTGCTGTTAGAGTAAGTAATTCTCAATTAGGTCACTTTAAACCTTTTATAATAATGCATACATTTTAAACATTTTATTTTTCTTAATTTTTATCAGGAAAATTTAAACCCACCCTGTGAAAGTGATCTACAAAAAATTTCTGAATGTTTTAAACGTTTACAAAATGCTTTCCTACCATTAGAAAAACTAGAACACCTTTTATCAGCCATGGCTCTTATATTTAATGCTGTAAGATTGAAAAAATAATTTTAAAAACACTTAATAGAATTTTAATATTGATTTAACATTTTACTATTATTCTAGATAAAAATACAAAATAGAAATGCAGATACTATCTTAGGTGCTGATGATTTCCTACCTTTACTAGTGTGGGTACTAGTCCAATGCAATGTACTAACAGCGGAATTGGAAGCTGAGTACATGTGGGGCCTATTACACCCATCATTAATTCCTGGAGAAGGAGGATATTATCTTACTGCATTATGCGGGGCAGTACATGTTTTAAAAAGTTACAAATCATCAATGGAAGCTGGGACTACCAATGGCATTAAAACATCAGGCTCTGATAATACAGTAAGATAGTAAATTAAACTAATTTTACCTCTTTATGATCAATTTTTTTTTTTTTTAGATAATTTATGATCCATTAAGTGAACTAAAGTCAGTACTTAAAGTTGTTGTACCTGATGAAACTAATGGTTCTCTTTTGACTAAAACACTACCAGTAAGACCTCATATGACCACACGAGATGTGTGTAAAATCATAGCTCATAAACTACGTATAACTAATCCACAAGACTACTCCTTATTCAAATTGGTTAATGGACAAGGTAATTGGTTTCGTCATACAATTGATAACCCTAATGAGCTACTACAAATACTACTAATATAAAATGTTGACATGTTATTCTTAACATCAAAATTTGTTATCACCATAATATTGTTTAAGATTTCATTAAACTTAATTAACATTAACTTTCTTAAAATTGTCTTAAACTGCTAAACATTTTTTTTTTTATGTAATACTTATAAATCTCTTTTCTCTCTATAAATTAAAAAAACTGAAATTCGATTATTGGTTCTAAAAAGAATTGTTGAGTTTTTTAGAATAACAATAAAATTCATTATAATATTTAATATTAATTATGTATAATAATTGTTAGACTATAAATTTATATTTCTATAGTTTATATACTAAAGTGAATAGTCACAAAAATGGGTTTTAAGACTTTTTATAATTTGTACAGAGAAGAATGTCATATGCCATTTTTAAAAAATTTATGAATAATTTTATTGGGAAAGTTTGTTTTTTACACTTCAAAAATATCAATTTACATATGACACCCCATTGAAATTTTTATTTGTTATGCTCTGCTTAAAAATTGCTCAAACTGGCTTACCACTATTTGGAAATTAGCCAAAAATTTAATAAAGTTTACTCTAATATCTTAAAAATTTATTTCAACAAGTTTTCTTACTTACAATTAGTATTAGATATTTTGTACTATATCGTTCAATATTGTAATAAAGTATTGTATATTTGTTAAAATATATTCTTACTTTATTTATAGAGTTTTTATTGTCAGAAACTGATTGTCCTCAAGACATAAAAAGCATGAACACAGCAAGTGGAACCCATTGTTTGTTTGCATACAAGCGTATTGATGCTAAAATAGCTTGGCCACATTCACCTTCATCATAAAATTTAACTATTTAGAATTATATTTTAGTGATTTCAATTTTCAAAATTACTTTTTATTAAAGTTTTTTGTATTTTATTTAAAATACATATATTATTACATACATATATTCATAAAATATTGTATACAAAAGAATTGTGATTTGATCCCTAACCCTAATGTAAAAAAATCTTGCATAGACTTTATAATCCTAAAAACTAGTCATAAAATTAGTTTGTAAAACAGCATAATTTCAAAAAATGTATATATATATATATATATAATAATGTAGAGTGTAATCTTATTAATATTTATTATTTTAGCTACGATAATTATATTATATATTTATACATATAAATGTATCATAATATTTTTTTATAATTTGGACGTTATGTTTGTTTTCATGTTGTCAACAATTTTTTTTATTACTTAAATATTTATAATTTTTTTAAGGTAATCTATTATGTGTATAACTTATACTAAAAATCTATAATATTGGGCTAATGACTGATAAACCCATTTACATGTAAAAATAAATACTTGTGAAAGCAGTACATAAATGAATTTTCATGTATTGTCATACTTTGTCATTTTGTTCTTTTTTGTACTTTTAATAAACAGTAACTAAAATATATTTTTTACCTTGGATAAATTGAATTTGTATTTCAGTATAACAAGTCAATCTTAGATGAGTATAATTTGTATAATTTGATGGCATAAATTAAATATTTCATGTCGTATAAACTTTTGGCTGTTCAATTTATATCCTGAAAGGATGCAACAAAACTATATGAAAGGTATTTTAAGATTTTAAATTTTTGTGATTATTATTCTATTGAAATTTCATTAAATACTTTGTTTTAATATTATATTAAGAATACTTAATAGGACATAAACATAAAATGGTGTATACATTACCAAACCAAACTGTTGGCCACTAAAAAAAAAATTTACAAATTATTATAAACTGAAGGCAGTGACAAATGATTTAGATATTAGGAAGAATTGAAAAACTTTCATAATAAAAATTTTCATGGGAGTTGTGTTCTCATATCCCAAAGTTTTTTATTTATATTTGTAATACTGTATCAGGATATTATTATGGACTATTAGATGTGCATTAATGGATTTCTTCTTATTAAGACTGTTTCAAATATTTAATTTATTCTAAAATAGTACTCAGTTGAATTTACCTATGCCTAAATAATAACTAAGTATAAGATAAATAATTGTTAATTTGACACTGTTAAGTTTATTTAATCTAGTTTAAAAGTTGGCTAAAAATAGCAATAATTATATCATATTACATTTATTTTCTTATAATTAATTTAATTGATATCAAAATATTAAGAAGATAACCTGTTGATAACCTAGAAATCACGTTATACGAAACGTCAATGTCAATTACTTGATGAAAATACCTTTATTAGGTCTAGAAATTTTATTAAGTTAATATGTCAATTCTAAACTGATTAAAAATATGTGATCGTTTTCTAACCGTTAAAAATATTTTTGTGTTCTCACATGAAACTGCTGAGATTCATTTGAGTTTAGTATCTCTTTATTTATCTACATAAATGAATTCCTCAGTGTTTATGCTCATTTTGCATTTTTTTATACTGACGATAAAACAAAAGACCTTGTTATCAAATTATAATAATATTAGCACACCCATAATTTTAACATAGTGTGTGCCAATTGAGCATAAAATATGGTCGACAAATTCCGTACAAAATATATTAAGTAGTTAATAAATGTACGTTTAATTTTTAAAAGCTACTATGATGTGTCAAATGATATTAGGTTACGTCAATTCTAGCCCTATTAGCATAAAAAATAGCTTATTATTTGATATCGCTGGATAGCGGTTAGCGACACATTCAATTTGATCTTCTATTCCACATTTTCGGTGCCCATTACTAAATCGCTGTTAATCACTTATAGTGAAAGCATAAAACTAATCCATGTAACAAATACTATTCCATCGCATAAGCTCCTGGTACTATTTCCTATTTTTGTGCAATTCACTGATTGATATTATTCGCTGCCGTTGCCGTCGAAGAAGTTTCGTTCGTCTTATGAATTCCTAGTACCAATTTTATAAATTTTTGATAACATTCATCGACCTATTATTATTAATTCTGTAAGTTAAGTTGCCTACACACAACTCGGTATTTCATTAGAATGCACAGTAAATTAATATGGAACAAATTAAAGATTTTTGTACTAACAAAGGATCAATGTAAGTTTTATTTGTCATTAAATTAACCATTATTAAATAAATAAAATATAATTATTTTTTTCAATTTGTTATTTAGCCTGAAGTACGTTATAATCGTATGTTTATTAAATTTGAGTTATCAATAGTACTTATTTATTAATGTTTAAAGCTTAATTGTAAACTTTAATAAAACGGTTTATTGGATTTTTATCCAAATTTATTAGGTAATTAATGTTATTATTATTTTATATCATGTTTACAAAATGATTATTCTCAAAATATTTAAAAACATTAATACAATAATCATTAATGTTAATTAAATCGACAAGAATATAAAAAATTAAAAACGTTTTCTATTTCTGGTTTCATTTATTTTGTTATTTAAATTTTGCTTAGTAACCAATCTATTAAATTTCGGAAATATGTTATTTAATTTTTAAACAGATTTCAGATTTCAGTTTTCGTTTTATGTTGCATCTGTTAAAGTGAATACGTTACATTTTATCCGATTAAACAAAAAACTTAAATAAAACTTAACAAAAATCTCTGTTAAAGAGTCAATTTTTTTTTATTGCCAATAATAAATAATTTAAAATATTTCCATGAAATAAATTTCCAAGATTATCTGAATTTTAATAAGGAAGAACGTAGTGAATCTTGTTCAAGAAATTTTAACAACCTGAAACATTCGTCCACATCCAGTAAATCTGAATCATCCAACGATAGTAAACGTTCAGATGAAACAATTTATCTGCTTACAAGCATATCCGGTCAAGAAAATTCTGTAACGGCATCAGATTGGGAAGATAAAAGATTGTAATTATTTTAATATCATCCTCAAAATAAGTTTTTTATTTTTAAAGATAAAACATTTAAGAAAAAAGTAGATATATGGTGATTTTTCTAATACTCGCATAAATTCATACATATATTTACGAATCAATTAGGTCCTAAACCAATAAAATGAGTAAATAAATTTTAAATAGTATTGACAATAACTAATAAGAACGTGAAAAAAATCATAATTCAGATAATAATTTAATATTTAACAGAATTAAACATCTTTAAATATATTCAGTGATTCCGAAAATTAACTTAGTCATAATATGATACATATGAAATATTTTTAAATTTTTATTTATGTAATATATTAATTTTAAAGGGCTTATGATTTGGGATACAACATGCATGATGAATGGGCAAGTAAAGTCTATTATTGGCTGAAAGATATAGTACTGAAAGCCGAAATGAGTGGAAACTCTTTTAATGGTGAGTAGTATTTCATTGTATCAAAAATAATCAAGTTTGAGTTTTTTGAATCAATTGAACCAAAAATTACAAAGAACGAAATACTTATTACATTATGTAGTTAAAAGTTATTAATAAAATAGTAATAATACAAATTACCAATTATGTAAGTTTAAATAAATTATTTTGAATCAATTTAACCAAAAATTATATAGAACGCAATAGTTATTACATTATTTCACTAAAAGTTATTCACTAAAAGTATAACTTAAAGTTATACTTTGCTTATCTTGTTTAAGTGAATACTTAAAATTTGTATAACTGTATTTTTCATGATTTTATTTTCTGCGTTTAAAATATGAGTAAATATTTCTTTTTATAATTGTTGTAAACATTTTTTTTTGGATACTAATTCCATACCAAATTTCTTTTACAAAAAAGCTATTTTATTATTGTTGACGAAAAAAAATGTTGATTTATAGTTGTAATTAATGTTTTATGTTTAATATTTTGTAAATTATATTTTTATATATTTCAATGAACTTTTTATTTCTTATTTTTAGGAAAAAATTTAAACCAAAAATCTGGTTTAAAAAGTTTTATACTTTTGTTGAATATCAGTAACATTGGTGTTCTACAACCCAATTCAATAAATGCTATAAGTGGCACAACCAGAGAGGGTTAATAGTTATAAGTTATAATTAATTAATTGGACATATTATAATTTAAATGGTATATTCGTATTTAATAAGCTAGTGTCAACCATTTAAAGTAGTATCAGGAAATTATATCTTTCTCAAATTTTTAAATGGCCTTAAGTTTTGAAAATATTCTGATTATACTTACACTTTTATAAATACCTTAAATTAAAGCTTATCTAATATACTTTCATTTGAAAAAAAAAAATTTTATTTCTGGACTTATCTTCATGGTGAAAATGCCTGCCATATTTAAAAATATGGTATTTTTGTGAAAAATTCTTGATTTTATATTTTTTACCTTATTGTGCTATTACATTTTTAAAATTGTATGTACAATATATTTTTTTTAATATAAATATTTTTGTACATCCCTTTTATCCGATATACTTTTTTATTTGAATCGGACTATTTTCCTTTATACAGGAGCGTTTAAACTTTAAACACGAAAATAGATATTAGAACATTTTTAAATTATCCGTAAATATTGACACTTTTATATAATTCTTAAATTTAAGCTTATGTAATATACTTTTATATGAAAAAAAATTAGAACTTTAAATTGTCATCAAGATAAAAATGACTACTGTAATCAAAAATATGCTTTTTTTGTATTTAAATTCTCGGTTTTTTATTTCTATAATTTTTTATATTAAAATATCTTACAAAGGTTTGCCATAGTAATGAGTCCATCAATTTTTATAAAAGTTACGTAAATCTAATTTAAATTGAATATAAATTATAACTTATTTTAAATAATATTAAATAAAAATAAATAAAAATATATTGCCTCCAAAGTTAAAAGAAACGACTTTGTATTTTCAAACTAGCTTAAATTGTTTATTTATCCTAATTCATGTGTAATGTACGGTTGTCAAGTTGGTTAAACTGTAGTCTTTCACGGGTACAAGATTTAAATCCATCCGTCGAATAACTTGTTTATTACATTTTTTTCTTAATTCCTTTTGAGATGGAAAAAATTCAAATTTCATTTGATTTTTATTTCATTTAGATTGATTACTTCAATGAATATCAAGAACCCCTTACTGTAGTCAGTCTATCCTCGTAAGAAAAAATTTCTTATTCATATTTAAATTATATTGTTGTGTGTTTTTTTTTTTGTCTATCATTAGTTTTTCTCAGCTCTCACCAATATTTTAATACACTAAATGATCACAACTAGTATTTAGTAAAAAATATTACTCTCAAAAATTGAAAAAAAAAACCACCTTAATTAAATAAAAAGTTGCTTAACCAATTTTCTCCATGCAAACAATTAAAATCATTAATTTCTTATGTTTTTAAAGTATATTTTTCGAATTAAATTTGATATGACAAATTTCAACTAACAGTTGAATAACTTTACTTTATAATTTATTAATTTTTTATTTCTACTTGTATGTGTTACTACCAGTCTATAATATTTCAAATTTTTTGGTACCATATTACTGTACGCATTACTTCTAAAAAAAATGATATTGGGTTTCATCTGAATTTAACAATAGATTTTTTAAATTTTAATCAAATTTTATAAAACGATCAATTGTGTAATTTTTTTTAACAATATATTAATAGTTTTTTTTTTAATTTTGATGCGAAACTAAGAAGTTGTGTCTTATTGGTTATGTGCTTCTGTACGATTTTTTATGTTTATTCATAAAAATTCTCAGTTTCACTTGGCCAATTTCGATAATCAATACGTCAAATGAATTTATTTTAATCTAGTTAAACTAATAGTCATCAAATATTGGAAAAAATCCCTTAATTTTAGAAATTTAGACAAGTATAAATATATTAAATAGAAAATGTTATGATGATTTAAAAAATGGTATTGTTTAGATTCATATATGGTCAGGAACTTATATAATTACTATTAACATAAATTTATAAAAATAAAGCCCAAAATTTAGTTAAAATCACTGATTATATTTTTTGTTTTTATATCATAAAAAATCATTTCAAAAGAAATATTAATAATTTCTATGGAACTCTTAGTATTTAAATAGATGCTATAATTGAAATATTGAGAACTATATTTCGATAAGTTATATCCTATAGTTTTTAACTAATTAGTAATAATATCAAAAATTAGTGATTATTAAAAAAGTCTAATTACAGATTTGAAATTAGCACGAAAAATTAATTAATAATAATATATTTTTGAATCTGATGATAATTTCTTGTAAAACCTTTAATTCATGATTAACAACAAATTATTTTCTAAAAATGTTTGTATCAAACTCATCAATTTTTGTACACGTTTGCCATAAAAGTAATAACTATTTTATAATTTTTTATAAATTTTCCGAAAAAATTACAACACTAAGTTATTAAATATCAATTTCATACTATATTTAATTGCTGTAATAATACTTATCTCATATATTATACACAGGAGCGTATTCACATAATATCTGCCTACAGGCATTTAAAAGTTTGCCGCCCTTCATTACGTTATGAAGATGGGGGCTCATTTTTATATATTATCGCCATAACACTACAAATTCTTCCTTAAAAAAAAAAGTATTTTTCAAGCAAATCTATGTTTATTAATAAATTATAAAATAAATTGCTTGTAGCTATTAATATACATATCATAAATTCACAATAAATGAAAACGATTATGATAATAATTAGGATATCAATATGTCTTAATAACAATAAAAAAATTACTCGCTTTTTATGAATTTGTTGACTCTTCCATATTTGACGCTCTTTAAAATATGCCACTGTAGGCAGTTGCCTATCTAGACTGTATATAAATACCCCGCTGATTATACATATATTAAAGAACTACTAATCAAAAATAATAAAGGAAATAGGAATTCATTTAGCTTTTGGTATAATCCACCAATTTTTTAAAATTAAACACTATCTACAGATTTGCATAGAATCGTTTTTTATGATAGTGATTTTAATCACTGTTAAATATTATTAACACTAGCCACGTACATACTGTGCCGCGATCTCACTGTGCTACCGTTTTTTTTTCATAAACTTTATTTTATAAAAATGGAAATGTGAAAAGTGACTCATAAAATGGAATAAAATTATTTATCCAACGAATTCATACATATTAATAAATATGAACTGTGCTACTATTTTTTTTTCAGATTTTTGTATACAATTATAGAAAATATTCTGTTGTTATTTATAATTTATTTATTTTCATTTGGTCAATTTATTATTATGTCATTTAGTAATATATTTTTACTATTAATGAATTAATTATTAATATTATTTATTCAATAACATTAATGTTTTCAACTATTTATTTCTTCATTTAATTTTTTAATTATAATGGAGGAGATTAGTTCAATATAATACATTTTAAATTTACATTTTTACTAAGAATTTTGCTGGAAATAATATCAATAACAACTTAAAATATTAGCAGTATATTAAGATTTAAGTTATAAAAATTTTTTCACTCAACTGTAAAATTAAGACATAGTTTTAATTTTTAAATATGCGAGTACTATTTCATGAAAAGTAAATCTCCCTTGTTATTTATAAATTTGTACCTTAAATAGTAGTATAGAGTACCTTTATAGAGTATTTATTTATATGAAGAAGTTATTTAAGTATAAATCAAAGTATTAATTAACCAATAGAACCCATATAATAACATGATACAGATAATATAAATTATATGAAAAAACATTATTGTTTTGGTACTACACACTATTTTTACTTCTGGAAGAGAAAATAAAAGTTCCTATACAAATTTGTAAAATTTTTATAGTATAACATAGATTACTAGAAAAATAATATTTTTATTATTAAGACATCTTCTTAATTAATTAAATTACACAACAGTAAAATATTATATTAGTTAAAATTTATTATTTTTCAATAATTACTTAAGACAATAGATAGAAAAGAAGTTCACAATTAAATTAATAATTATTACACCTGTGGTACCAAACCTAATCGCTCAGCAACAGCTAGTTGTGCTGCAGCTGAATCTCTTAATGAAAATACATGTAATAATTCTTTCTCAGATTTAGCTAACTTAACTGCTTTTTCTAGACATTCAACAGCTTCCTTTAATTTACCACTGAAAATTTTATTTACATTATGTTTAAAAACATAAATACCTTTAATAATTATGTCAAAAAATTTTACTTACGTTTGAATATATAATGTTCCAAGTGTTTCATATGCATAATCACATTTAGAATCTATTTTTAAGGCTTTTTCAAGCAAATCAAAAGCATCATTAATTGAATTTTTCCATGAAAGTGCAATTAAAGCTAAAAACATTTAAAATATATATTTTTACGTTAAGTGTATTGCATATTTATTTTTTATACCTCTATGTACAAGAAAGGTTGCATTTTCTGGATAAATTTCATGTACTTTTTTGAATAATGAATCAGCTTCTTCGTAAGCTCCTTTTTCAGATAATGCCTTATTGAAAAAATAATATTAATTTTATTATGAAAAAAAATCAATAAATCACATAATTACTTGTGCATAAAGTGTGTAACTTTCAGCATGATCTGGGTGATTGATAATAAAGTTTTTTAATTTTCTAATGAACTTTTCAGCATCCATTTCATTTGATGTTTGTTTAGCATGTATATATTGAGCATAACATGATTGAACACTTGATAATACAAATGTAGGGTTAAGTTCAACTGCTTTTTTAAAATCTTCTACTGCTTTTTCACTATTCATTTCTAGTAAGTAAATCTAAATTCACATAAATATGTTACATATACATATAAATTACAACATTATTATGCAAAAATATTTAAATGAATTTCACAAATAAATTTAATACTAATAACATTTACTTGAGCTCTATGATGATATACTACAGAACTATTAGGATCGATTTGCTCAGCTCGCTTTAAATCTTCAAAAGATTTTTCCACTTGTTCTTGTTGATGATAAACAGATGCTCGCTTGATCAAAGAATTAATTATTAACTGGAAAATGTAATTATATTAATAATCATAAAATTAAATTTACAAAAATTGTGACACAATTAATAAATTAGATCTTTCTAATTAATTTCTTTTCAATATTAATAAGTGATATGTACATAGAGGATGATCAAAATCTGGTAAGACACTTAATATTATAAAAATTAATGAAAATTTTAAAAAATTTTAAGGAGAAAAATTAGTTATTTTCATTTTTTTAATGTTAAAAAACCTTAAATATAACCTTCATAGATGAAAACCTCTATTTTTAACTTGACAATAGAGTAGAAAAAATTACAAACAATTTTTTCATATCTGATCAATGTTGATTACACAACATTTTAAGTTAAGCCTTATTTCATGATTACAAATACAGCAATCTTCATTTTTTCTTTGCTGTCACAGAAACTTATTTTTTAGACTAAGATATGACAAATAAGAGAACAGAATAGAATGCTTAGATAACATATTTTTATTATCGATACAGATTATTGGTATCACTGGTATTATAACACCAAATAATTAATAATGTTTTAATTGTATTCCAAATATTTAAATAATCATAAAATGAAAATGGCTAATCAGGTAGAAAAAATTATAAGAACAAAATTGTTTGTAATTTTTTTTGCTATCATATTAACTAGTTTAAAATAGGAGTTTCCATTTAAGAAAATTAAATTTTAAAATGTTTTTCTCAAAGAAATGAAAAAATTATTAAATTTTATATTGTTGTAGTTTTTTAAATTTAATATTTTTTTTTGCTTTTCAAAGATCAAAAATATTTCTGAGGAAATGAGTGTTTTATTTCAAGTTTTTTGTATATCCTAAAAAATAATTATATGATCTACAAATTATTTTTAAATTAGGTTTTAGATTGTTACTCTTTACAGGCTATTTATAAAACTGAAATAAATTATTGCATTTATACCTTGTTTGGAACACCAGAAGTTTCAATAACAGCAGTGAGATGTTGTAGGCCTTCAGAATAATTACCCCTTAGTATAGAGAATGTAGCAAGCAAATTTAAGGCTAAAGTTCTCCGAACTACACTATTATCAGTCTTATTTAATTCTTCTTTACATGCTTCTTCAATATTTTCATACTTTTTATCTCGTATACATTTTAAAGCCAATTCAAGTCCATTACTAAACATTTTTAATTAATCATTTTGATTTATTTTTATTGTTAATTCATTATAGGAAGGGGACACGTTCAGAAACATATTATGTTATATTTGACAATTGAACAATCAGATTTACAGTTAATTATAACATTTTCACTTAAATTTGTATTTATAACTACTTAAGTTAAATAATAAATTAATTTTTGAATTAAATGAATTAAAATGTATATAACCCCTTCTTGTAGTTAGCGATTAAAAATTAATTATATAATATAAAATAAAAATTATTATTTGTTATTTATACTTACTTCACATCAGATTGTAACAATGCTTGAGAGAATTCATCATTGAAAGGGTCATCACAAAATGACTTCATGTAATTATCAATAAATGTTTTAGTTGGTAGATTAAAAACATGACTTTTAGTAAACTCTGCTAAGTTTTTTTTTCCTGGAAAATAAAAATATTACCATACTTATTCTATTTAAAATTGTCCAATTCATAAATTTATTACACACATTGTAGAAAAACTATGTGATTGTTACACATTAATAATTTTTATTCAAAAATATTTCATAGAATATTTATCTTAAGTATTTTTGATAGTAAATATTTTTTTAAACATTATAAATATAATATAATAATTTCTTGTTTTAAATATTTGAACATACTGTATTTTACTTGTAAATAGTTCTTGAATTGTGTTCTTTAAAAATACAACATTGTGATGTCCCCCAATGTTTTGATGATTTGCCATAAGAAATATATATGGATTTGTCAAAACATAGAGGGACATTCTGTATATAAAATATGTATAAAAAAC